GTGTTCGCTGCGGAGATCGCACGAGGGATTTTTCCTTTTGGGGGGGGTGTTTTTTTTTGCGGGGGGTTGGGGTGGTGGCTGTTGTAGAGGTGGGCGTTCGGGATTTGTTGGCGAGGGGGGAGGTGTTGTGGTCGTGTTGCTGCTGCTGGGCGCGGAGCTTGGAGGTCGGGGTTCGGGTGCGGCCGCTGCCGAGGGGGGTCTCGCCTGGGGTGCGGCGGCTGGGTGTGGAGGCGGTGAGCGGAAGGATCTTGTCGAGATGGTTGTAGAGACGCTTGTAGATGCGCGGGGGGATGGGCGGGCGCGGGTCGATGGGGGGCAGGTTGAGGCTGATCTTGAGCCGGTCGCAGGCTAGGTTGGCGCAGGCATAGAGTCGGGCGACTTCCTCTTCGGCCTTGAGAATGCTGGCGCGGTTTCTGGACTGGGCGAGCAGTGAGCTGGCCAGTTGGGTGAGAGGCTCGGGGAGGTCCGAGTTGTGAGTTGGTAGTAGGGAGAGCAGCGTCTGCTCGATTGAGCGGTTCATGGTTTAGGAATATCCCTAATTTGGATTGGGAGAGTAGAGAAAAGTCAAATCATTAATGGAAGGATCTTAGGTGTCCTTGTCCGTGATGACTCTCGGGTTTATTGCTTGCCTTCAACTCATTCGCTTGTGCATGAAATGCATGAAATGAGCGAGGTGAGCGGGAGACGCGACGTGAATGGCTCCGGCGCCAGGTCATGTGACTTGGATAAAAGAGTGGTGGCCGTCAACCGCCAAGCCACACTTGCATTGCCTGGGTGGGTACGTGGGTAAGGTGTACGGAGGACCTGGGTGTTCCCTTTCAGGTGGGCCCCAAGCATAGTTAACAAGCCCGAGAATCAGTTGTGGGAGAGGATGTGCTGCATACCGAACTGGAAATCACAAGTGTATCCTGTATATACCAGTATTTCCTCCAGGCTCCAACGGGGATCACCGCCCGATGGGAAGTGGCCCTAGCGACGGTGGCTTAATTGGCACTGGTGGTGGTCTTGCCACCTCGGTTTCGAACCTGTGTAATAATTCCCTGGAGGTTGCAGGTTCGAGCCGGGGTGAAACAAAGAGATTTAAGAGGGCATTGCGCTCTTAGATCTGTCTCGGAGAAATCCCCAACGGGGTTTCGTAGCCGGCCACCTCCCCGGATGGGGGGCTGGCCGGTGAGCTTTGGTCATTGACACTCATTTTTACCTCTCGCCAGCGTCGGGTTGAGAACAAGACCAGAACAAAAAACTGCCATTGCCATTTTTTCTGATTCAACTTTCCAAGTTGACAGTCAGTGGTGTTGCCAAGCCCATTGACTCTTTTTCGCATCTTCTTGCTCACTCTCGCCTAATGTTTATTTTTCTAAGTCCTAACTTGTTTGAATTACCTATTTTGCGATTTCCGTGGAGCTCATTCAATCTGTCACGGATTAGGACCCGTACGGTGTTGGCTTGCAGGACGTGGGACGTCCCGTCCAATCATTCACGGAAACATAGGACCAATCATAACGCCAGAAGGGAGTGCTCCCGGCGCTCCCTTCAGGGCCCGGGAGCACGGGGAGCATCTACACTCCCAACGCTCCCAATGCTCCCCGGGAGCACAGGGAGCACTGGGATCAACAACTCAAATAGCAGTATATAGTCACTCGTTCTGGAGAGCTCTGGGAGTTCTCCAGTTAGCAATCACAACTACAGTTCGCTACAAGCTCGAGAGCCTACTGTTGAGACAAGTCTTTGTTGTGCACCCTTTGGCTGCACCGAACCTAAGCACCCTTGAAAGATTACCTTCGACCGAAAGCTGAACCCTAACAGGACAGGGTCCTGAAGTAGGTTCGTCACACAATCCCCCCCCAACTCCCGGTGAATATCGTGTTCATTCAAAACTCATAGGTTCTGTAACAACTTCAAGCGGGCGTGGGAGATAATCATGACGAAAACGGCCAAGGCTTTTCTTTATGAGTTCTCCTCCTTGAACTGTAGCGTTTTCCTATTTGAACTGTAGTGGTCCGTGCGCAACACTGCAAAACGTCGGCTAATTAATTCTGCCGCTTGATGCCTGCCACACAGCATCACAGCATAACACCCGAAGCAACGTTACGATTCCACAACGGCGCAGTGAGAATACCCTCATTTGGGCATCGAGAATGGATTATTTAAGTGCTAATTTTTTGATTTCAGGTTTTCTTATTAAATATATGTCATTGCGCAGTCTGCAGGACATGGAGGAGTTACCGGCTTCACTCCAACCAGAGGCTGTCTTGACAGGGTCTCCTTATGGTGCACCTGCACCACCAAGCATCCCGCCAGGCCACCGTCTCCTCACTGGCCCGGCTTACGCCTCCTGCAACGAGCTCTTGCTTGATCTGAACTTTTAGGGGAAGTCCTATGGTCTGGGATTTGTGAAGAGGCGAGCTTCGAATTGAGAGTTTTGCGTATTTTCCTGAATCAGGGCTTGAAGAACTTCTTGGTATTCGTGCGTTCTGCTGGATGAAAATGGTGACTATTGGAGCGAAGTTCCATGATTTGTCTCCAAAGTAGGGCTCCGAATCATGCAGCTCACCGCCTTCCCGTTTTGGCTGACGCACGGACCACTACAGTTCAAATAGGAAAACGCTACAGTTCAAGGAGGAGAACTCTTCTTTATTACTGGTTATTGGCTGAGTCGCCTCACCTTCATGACCCAAGTCATCAGACAGAAAGCTCGTGCAATGCGAGCTCGGGCCGTCGAATTGCAGGGGAACCAGGGGTTTTCCTTGGCAGGGGGCGTTGTAACCTCGACAACGCCGGTGAGGAACCAACTGCATAAAAGACCCTGCCTGAACACTCTTGGACACGAAGAAACCGTGGCAGAAGCGCGTTTCCAAACCCCGCATTCCCAGCATCTTCACGGTCCAGACTGTCCTGGAGTGCAATATTATGCGGAGAACATGTGCCTGGAACCGAGCAACGGCGGCATCGCCGGCCAGAACGGCATTGCTGGATTCCCTTCCCGTCTCGAGGAGCCGGTGTGAACGCCGAAACAGCAAGGTCGTCGGGTATTCAGATTGGCCAGTGGCCGTCAACAGAATTTGATGATCATTCCAGAGATTCTACTGGTGGGTGACCAGGAATCTGTAAGTTTTTTATGCTAATCCACATCTATCTATGTGCTTTATACCTCAGGACACTTGCCAGCCGTACCACCGAGCCAACGATTTCCCCCGTTTATGCTGCATTCACAAGCACGGCAAGTCCGATGTTCACCAATGCAAAAGCTTCCAGGGCCTGGCCTCGACGAGAAACACCGGCCTCGCTGGTCGTCGCCGTCGTTTCAGTTGTCGTTATCGCCGTCGTCGCGCCGCTCGCCGTCGGGGTGGGCGCCGTGGCGTCGACCTGGGTTTGTGCATGTGCGCCCTGCACCTCGAGATAGCAGCTGGCATGGGCCGAGACCCTCTTGAACCACTCATGCTCGATCATGGGAATCCTGCTGCTCCAAGCAACGGGGCAGCTGGTAGACAAGATGGCGACGGTCTCGCTGTTGGCCGTCCAGAATGACACGACCGAGGAGAGGTAGGTGGAGAAGTCGGAGAGGATGGAGGCGGGCGCGGCGGTGGTGAAGCCGCACCACGATTCCGGGTTGGAATCCAGGCAACTCACACTCTCAGGGCCCGAGCTTGCTGTGGCAAAGCACGGTGCGGCGAGGTCGTAAGCGTATGAGTCGTGAGCCTTGGAAAGCACTCCGGTAGGCATAGGGACGTCGAAATACTACGTGATGCTCTCCGCGATGCACTGCCAAGGGTCCGGTGTGTACGACGGCCGCCGTGCCGTGGTTGTGGCTTCCTGTCTCTCGACAAGGAGGTGGTCCACCTTGGTCGCTGGCGGCGAATCGTGCAAGAATTCAGCAGATACACCGGTTGCAGTGACAAGGGCAGCAAGCCCCCCAAGGACGATGTTGATGCGCATATTCAGGTTGATTGGCGATGGATGAGAAGAGGGAGAAATCAAGACGTTGTGGAAGAATGAAAAGGGGAGAGAAATTTGACACGAGTCATTATATCTCGAAGAGTCCCTCCCTTGGGCTGCTGAAGTTTCAACTTGGGAGGCAACCAACACAAAAATGGGGCAACCATCTTGACGTTTGATTGCAGAAAACCATTTCCGCTCGGGTCCCTTTCCTACTCGCCGGCTCTATTTACGGCATATCCGCTCTCGGCTCCTTGGCATGCGGGCGACTTATGCACTTAGACTCGACAACCAACATGCCACATCCCGCAGGAAATGTAAGCGAAGTGACCCAACATCACTGAGACTTCTTTTTGGCACGTGGGGCCACTAGTTGCAGTCCAGACGGTGGTTAAAGCTTAAAAAGCACGACCTGCGTCCCCCCTGACTTTTAAGCCTCAACTCCCATACTCCCACTACGCGTTGCCCCCGACAAACAACAACAAGAGCAGCAACAGCAGCAACAGCAGCAACAGCAGCAGCAACAACGCCACCATGGCACCAGTTGAATTCCCACCCCACATCCATCCGACGCTTGAGATTGAAGACTTGGAGTCATACTCGACGGACGAAGAAGAGGACACCAATTACAAATACTCGCGTGGAGACGATTGCGGCCGTGTCAAACTACTACACCTTCCTCACCCAGATGTATATGGAGGAGTCCCACGTCGTCTACCCACCGCTGGGTGGCTGGCCCGAAATCGCCAACGCCGACCCCGCCGCGCTACAGTTACTCGGTAAGTCGGACGAGGTTCTGGCATTGTTGGCCCACTTGCCATATGTCCGATGCTCCTGGGAAAACCCCGCCGAGATTGCCCCCGGCAGCAACGTCGCCGACTGGCCAGTGCTCATCACACGTCTCTCCCAGTCCCTGGGCCAGGGCCCTGACGCCTCCTTCGAGCAAGCCAGATCAATTCGCCTCGCCACTGAGGGTACATTCTACCGTATATCGCCCCCCCATGTTGTTGGCCTAATCACTAGCCGCGACGAAGCGATGGTGCTGGATACGAAGCACGGTATCATCCATTGGGAAGACTGTCCCGGCCTGATTGACTCCGGAAGGCATTCCCAGCCCAATGTTGATTGGTCCGACTTCGACGACGGGGTGCCCGAAGAAGAGGCAGAGTGGCGATACGGCGCAAGCGCCTGGACCATCCCCGACTTTTTTGAGGTCCTCAAGGAGCAATTCATAAACCTGCACTGGCTTCCCATCAGTTTCTTCGCCTTACGGGCGTTTGCGGATGGTGATTACCCCGGCGAAGAAGGCATGATGGCCATGCTTCGAGAGACCTATCAGCAACATGGTTGGCCCGACTTGGCCGTTTACCGCAAGTCGGACTGCCTCAAGGCTGTGAAGAAAACCATGGCCGAAAGGTATCCCGAATCCGTTTGTTACCGAGGGGAGGGACCCTGATCAGGCGCTAGCTCATGCCTACCCTCAGCTATGAGCCAACACCTGAAAGACTTAGCTTGGAAATTTGGCCCAAATTGAACTTGAGAACTCTGTTTCTGCATGCATACACGTGGGAATGTCTTCGATGAACTACCCTTGGGTTTATTAACCTTCCGCGGCTGCCTTATCCTTGATCTTTGAAACCCAATCCAGTGCACTACCTCGCCCGTTTTCGAGAGCCTTTGCCTCAAACCCATATCGACGGCAGAATACCCGCTGAGATCAGACGGAAGTGGGATTTGGTACCCAGGTTAAGCCTAAATACGAATGGGTCAAGCTGCGGTGTCATCGGTGAAACGGTGCCAGGAGTGTATTGCAACTAGGTGAGGGCGAGTTTACGAGGATATCAATCCTGAAGAAGAGAAAGGGAATAAATGTAAGAAGAGATGATCTGGGGGCCCTATGTGCCTCCAGGCCAGGGCCGACAGACACGGCGATCCAGGGCAGACCATGAAGCGCGATATGGAAATAGCCTCATCGGGGACCAGGGGCTCTGTCGATGGTCGCTCAGGCCCATCTCGGGCTCAACAGTGTACGTCGACGCCGGCCCATAGAAGAATGCAACAGCACCGATAGTCTCAATCCCTACACAAAGGGAGGCTTATCAGCTCTTTGGCGCCTTGGTGTCGAAGCTTCCCATCCGTTTCCGCTCGAATTCAAACAACCCAAAACGATTTGTCACCTCAAGACAGATACCTTTCTACTGGCCCAACTGAATCCAAGGAGCGGCCGTCTCGAGCAACCAGAAAGCAGCGGTAGCATCGAGCAGATTGGGACTTGCAACCTATCAAAGGACTTTCTCCGTCGTCATTGGGAATGGAAAGGTCCAACCTCTTAACGGGAATTGCGGTGAAGAGAAGCGTGGTAGAGTGTAGGGTCAATCCTCTTGGATGTCGGTCGTACAGGTTCCTGCTGCGGGCCGCTTCTGGCGGCGGCGCGGTAAAACCGGTGGGGAATTTTAGTATTCCTTGTCTCGATCAATTTATCCACCTCTCGATCAAATTCGGTCGTTCGAGAAAGGGAGCCCTGTCGTAAACGTCCATGTTCATGAAGTGTTCTTTGCACACCTCCTCGGCAACGGGGCAGACGAAATCATGGCAGTGAAACCATCCGCAAGGCGAGTGTTTTCGCACCATCCGCCCTTCCACCAAGGGAATGTGGAATCCAAAAGACGCCCCTTCCAACCAGGTCTTGAGGGCGCTCATTGAAAACCTGGTAGAGAGCCAAGAGTCTGCAGTATCGATTCTGCGGTAGGTGAGAAGTTCCACCTGGATAGTTGCCCAAAGGAGGCCGAGTTTCGGATTTCCGCAGGGCAGTTTAAGCCATTCGGCATGCGCCGATAAGCCTTCCGACCCAAGCCAACAGCGACGAGTTTGTGGAGCGCCGTGAAAGTTGTCCTCTAAATCAGCGTTTGAACTTCTCTCGAATTCGTCACCATCAGACTCCTGGCCCGAGTCAGCATCCTGTTGCAAGTCACCATCTCCGTCCTGTCTAGCCAGGAGGAGGACTTGCAAGATGCACATCCATCCTGTCTGGCAGTCCGTACTCCAGTGGGCTACGAGGTCATGCGGCACCGCGCACATGAGATCGTAAGCATCCATGAGTTTGTGGCAGCATCTCCCTGGCTCCGCCCGCCCGAGAATGTCCTCGACCGATATGACTGTTTCTAACGAAGCGTGGGCGCCGAGGCTCAACAGACAGACCATGGCTGTCAGCGCACCAAACATTGTCTCCCCAGGCATTCCCAGATGCGCAAGATAAAACGTCACGACAACGAGTGTGTGAAGGGGCCCGAGCTTGAGCTCTAACCCGCAGTTGTTACAACGTCGAACGAACAGTCCGCTCAGCGCGTCGATGGGTGGGGAGGCGGGTGAGCCCCAGATGGCGATTACGCTGTGGCAGATGGCCTGCGCAGCAGTGTGGCAGAACGCATGCTTCCACTTGGTTGGAACGCGTGCATATCCGTGCCTGAAAAGAGCGCGGACAGCCGGAGAGTCGGCATCCCATCTGCCACAAATGTCCTTTTCTTCTCCCGGAAAGCGGTGGGGTGGGTTGAATCGCGCACTGACATGCTCGGGGCCGACACTCGTGTGCGAACGGAGGATGGTGATCATGAAACTGTCCAGCACCGTGTGGTCTAAGTCGTCGCGATCGTTGAAAAAGAGGTAATCAGAACCGAGGAGAGAAGAAAGCGAACTAATCATGCCGCAGCACTTGTTTCCACCGTCCAGAAAGGAGGCTGCCAGGTGGAAGGGATAGATCTCATTGATTCCACCCGGGGGTCCCTCTGTTTTGTTGTACAAACGCCACAGCAAATCGACGTTACCAGCCATTATCGCAACCTTCCAAGCATCCACCCGTAGTAGCTCCGGATTCTGTTGCACGGACTGTGATAACGACTCGGTTGAAATTGGCAAATTGTTGGGTGCCATAAGGGAAAACGTGCTGTTGGTGATGGACTGGCCCATCGACTCTACGAACGAGACGGAGCGTGCTTCCTCGTCAAGTGGCCACTCTACCCATGAGCGAGGGTCCTGTATGTCGAACCCATCCTGCGCACTCACGGGTTCTTCTGGAATCGCGTTGTAGCGCATGGAACGGACGTGAATGGACCACCGGCAGAGTTGTGTGGGGTCGTCGAGCCTGTCCAGCTTGTCCGGGGCCGCAGCTGGCGATATAGCAGATGCGAAGCTCGCTGAACTGGAAATATCAACAGAGCCAAGAGTGAAGACGGATACCAAGCCTGCAGTCCAATCTCCCATCCGAGGACCTCGGCCCCAGTACTTTGCGACAACAAAGGAATGAATGTAGAAGTCGTGAAGATAATTGGCCAGCGTGCTAGGAGCAAATTAGCTGGCAGCACAGAGCGAGAAACGACATGTGCATTCCCTTACGTGCGGTCCTCTTTTCCGCAGCTCGCAAGAAGCTCCAAGTGGCGTCCCTGCAAGAAGAGACTTGACCGGTCCAGGGCGACCTTCTGGCGGACGAGCTGCATAGTCGGCGACGGGCCAGCTGCTTCGCGTCCTGGGGTGGCGGCCTCTAGGCTCTCAATGTTTAGGTAGCTTGGGGTGGAACCTGTCTCTCCGAATGGAGAAGGTTGGTCATTTTTCTTGCCCAGGGCCTTAGAATATGCCGCATAGGGAAGGTTCCACGACGAGAACCGAGTAGGCGTTAAAGTGTGAGCCTCAGTGGGGCCCGTGCCTCGTTTGTCCAGAATAGAAGACTTACACGCCGGGTGACATAGGCTCTGCTTTGTGGTGGCGAATTTGATCGTTCAGGTACCTCTTCATTTGCTTCTTGTCTACTGCCTTGTCGTGTTCGAGGGTGACATGGGACGTGCTCATCTCTGCGTGAGTTCTCCTGCCGAGTGCAGCCGTGATTTGCTCCTTCTCATCAACGACTGTACGTCGGCGGACGCCCCATTTACTGTGACGAACCTACTTCAGGACCCTGTCCTGTTAGGGTTCAGCTTCGGTTGAAGGTAATCTCTCAAGGGTGCTTAGGTTCGGTGCAGCCAAAGGGTGCACAACAAAGACTTGTCTCAACAGTAGGCTTTCGAGCTTGTAGCGAACTGTAGTTGTGATTGCTAACTGGAGAACTCCCAGAGCTCTCCAGAACGGGTGACTATATACTATCTAGGCTTCCTAGGTACCGGCGTACCTTTTGCTGGGAACGTGAGGAACGGTGATCGTTCCTCTCGTTCCAGACTGGATCCTGGGAACGGTAGCCGTTCCCTTCGTTCCTCTGCTGATTGGTCTGAGACCCATTCTTAATGATTGGCTGGGAACGCTTCCCGCGCGTGCCCTCATCGGGGCGTGGTACGCGACCATAATAACCGTGACATTTACTGAACCGATGTCGATACTGGTTCTCACTACGCAGCAAAATACGATAAGCCTGGGCAAGATGCCCGCAGTATTGGGGGGGGGGATTGGCACTTACACGGCATAAAATAAATATTATTATTATTATTTCCTACACCGATATGCCCTGGGGCGCGCCGGTCCTTCTACTGCTATTTACAAAGGAAACCGTACCGTATAGGCCGGATAAAAACCTCCGTCTACCACTTTGAGACAACAATCTATGAATCCGTCATATTGCAAAAGAAAGGAGGCCCTTTGCCGGCCTCCGGGCCCTCTAGCCCTCCCCGTCCACTGTTTCTAGCTCCAGCCTTCTGGCCAGGCTATACTCTAGTAGCCGGCCAGAGTCCATCAGCCAGCCAAGGACCTTCCTAACAAATCTTCTGCTCCGGGCACCTACTCCCCGTAATACGGCTTGTAGGTCCCGATGTGACCGAATCTCTCTGCCGTCCCACGGCCTTTGTAACGGCGGGTCGGGGCACCAAACCACCAAGTGCTCCACTGTCTCCCTGCCTCTCCCGCACTCGCAATAGGGGGAGGCATGGAATAAATAGTTGTCTCTCATGAACACAACCACCTGAGCCATGGTCGTCGACTTCCCATTGGGTCCGTACTTGCCCATGTACAGTCGAACGATGATAGGCCTTAGGCATTCCCACCGTTCCTCGTACGGAACGTCCAGGAATTTCGCGCCCCGAGAATGAGGAAGCAAATCGTTGATGTCCATGTCGGAAACTTTGGTTTGGGACTAATGGCCGGAGGCAAATGGGCAGAGGAGAGAATGAATGGAAAGCTGCCCTGGGCCCTGCGCAATGGGCTAGACGCTCACAGGTTAAGTACATTTTATGCGCGACAGCAAACGCAGGCGAGCGCCCGGCGCGCACCATATCTGTGTGACGGTGCTCGGTGGAAAAGCAAGAATGAGGCAACAAAAAGAGCAACTTCCAGAGACACGACGAATCAAAACGTCGTGGAAGCTTCGACTGTGGCAGTGCGGCTCACCCAGTCTTGGCATGCCCTCCCACACCACTTGGTAATTAACGAGACCCAATTTTATGGCTGCTGCAATGCGGGCGTGTTGTCATCCACCAATGGCCGACAGGCGTTCTCGGCGTCCCCTGTTGACAAAACTGGCAAGCCAATGGATCACACTGAGAGCAACCAACCCGGGGGCTCATGCGCAGACCAAGTCACCGCCTGATGAAGGGTCAGCACTTCTGGAAGACGGGAAGGTAACTTACATACCCTAGGAGATTGCGTAAGGTCAAGGAAAGCCAGCATCGCTCTCACGTCCATCCAACTGTCTTTCCGACCGAGCGCGGCACAGATGTCGTGCAGCCTCGAGCGACCGGCTGGCGCACAGCGAGAGCCACGTCTGGGGCCGCGATAGTCGACTTCAGCACCGTCTACGCCATGTCATGTGTCCAGGCAGTCCAGCCCGCCCAAGCACAACATGGGAGCAGAGCGGAGGAGGCGAATGGCAGTCATATCGGTCAACTCGTCACGTCAGGCTCCTTGCTAGTTCCCCACCCTCCGAATGTGGCAGCTTTGCTCCAGTAACCCGTCGTCCCCTTTTATAAAGCCAACAGATGTCGCACGCTTCCTGCCTCTCGATTTGGATATCAGACTTCACCGTTCACGTCTTCCGCAAGGTCCAGGCCCTCTCGTGTTTCAACCACATACGGTATCTCTGAACCCCTACCTCAATCATGCCCTCAGAGTAAGTGACGTTGTTTCTTTTCCTTCAAAAGTCGCATGATCTCGTCAATTACCAGCCCTCGTCCTCTCTTACCGCCTATGTCTCTTCCCTCCCGTCCCTTCCTTCCATTTCTCTTTGTATCCCGTACCCTCATTTCTACCCCTACCCCTTTTTTCTTCACTTTTGTACTCTTCAAAGATTCCCATGTCGTCTTCTGGCCTTTTCCATGCTTTGCTCTTCACGGCCTGGGGGAAGCGGCCCGGGTCTCCAGACAGTCGCAGTGAGGACGTGGCAAATCACCTGATCGAAGTCATCCACACGACCACCTTAGCTAAACCTCCGGTAGAAACAACCCCGACAATTGGAGTACCACCGCCAGAAATGGCTCCCCTATTCCCGCTACGCCTCGCATTGGATCCTCTCTTAATGTTCCTGTCGGCGGATTGAATGGGTCACACAATACCGAGCATAAGAACAAGGCCAGAACAAACGACGTGTATGGGACTGGCACGCAGTTCTCATATGGACCGTAGGTTGAACTCCCCTGCAGCAGGGCCCTCACATCTCTGTCTGCTGTATTCATTGCACCTGCTGATTCGAATGTTGGATTACATCAAGTGCCGTCACCAAACCCCCGAGTGCTATATCTGAAGCTGATCTCGGTGTGTGATTCCGTTGATATCCTACGGCACTCCTTTGTCAAGACTCGGGGCACGGGACGCCCCAAGCCAGTCGTCTAGGTCGGACCAATCGGGAGCATAAAAGGTGATCAGTGAGCTCAGTTGCCAAGCAAGCTGAGCACGCTGAGCACACAAGGAAGGGCCACCAATCAGAAGTCACGGCTGGCCGAGGTGATCAGTGAGACCAGTGTCCTGGAGAACTGAGCACACTGATCACCCCGGAATTAGACAGGTATATAGTCATTCGTTCTGGAGAGCTCTGGGAGTTCTCCAGTTAGCAATCACAACTACAGTTCGCTACAAGCTCGAGAGCCCACTGTTGAGACAAGGCTTTGTTGTGCACCCTTTGGCTGCACCGAACCTAAGCACCCTTGAGAGATTGCCTTCGACCGAAGCCGAACCCTAACAGGACCGGATCCAGAAGTAGGTTCGTCACATCCTTGTTGAGACATAGGACCCCTGGCGATGATGTTGAGCCACTGGCGGTAGCGGCGACTTTAAAGTTGGATATTATCTTAATAGGCTTATGAGCGCGCCCTGAAAAGAATGGAGGTTCAAGGTGAGTTGGCATTTTCGCGATGGAGATAATGGGTTTGTTATTTGGGATGCTGCGAGAAAACCTGTCTCAGAAAGGTCTATCGGGCTCTTATCGAAGTGGAGAGTGAAGAAGGGGCTAGAGACATTATGAAGGAGTATTGGGGCGATGTGTTGAAGGTTATATGCCCCATGACCTGGGGGGAGCTAAGCCAAGCTCAGGGGCTCTATATTGAGAGTCAGTTTAGGGCTGGCCATGACTTGGAGTACCACCAGAAAATGTTTTGGATGCGAGGTCGGTGGTGATCCATATGTTTATTATTTAGATTGTGCCCCTGCCGCTAATATCCGACTTTAGCAGTGGTCAAGCCAGCTGGAACTCACCAGCCCAGGGAGAGGCACCAGCCCCGTCAGACCGAAGGAGTCTGCCAGGTTCCTGGGAGTCTGGCTGGACCGGAAGCTCAACTGGAAAGCCCACCTTGCAGCGGTGGAGAGGAAGCTGAGGACCCAGAGCTATGCCCTGTCGAGGCTAACGGCGTCGACGTGGGGACTGGGGCTAGCTAAAGCGCGAGAAGTGTACACAAAGTGCATCCGGTCAGCGCTGGCCTATGGCGCATCGTCGTTTCACATCCCCACGGATGTGGGAGGCGAGCCGGTGAAGAAAGGCATCACCAAGGCCCTCGGAAAGGCCCAGAGCAAAAGCTTGCGGATTGTAGCGGGAGCCTTCAAGCACACTCCCATCCGCAACCTCGAGACGGAGACATGGGTGCCGCCGTTGGACCTATATCTCAACAAACCGCTTGCGGACTTTGAGACCAGACTCCAGCGAACCGACCTAGATGACGGCCAGGGCGGCAAGAAGATCGCAGGGAGCGTTAATCTTACCGCCTGTCAAAGGATACAGCAGAGACTACGCTCGAAGAGCGGTAACAGGGGTCGACCGCGAACTGTGGGACTGCGGGAGCCCACGGCGGTGGAGAAAGCCGCGAGCACGATCGCGCGCTGGACGGGGGGGATCGCAGACACGGACAGGGTAGTAGAAGACGCCTGGAAAGCGAGGTGGCTGAAGGAACAGGACGGCAGGGCAATCACCAGACCGGCGGACGACTTTGACCATCAGCGGGAGACGATATTCCGGAACGAAACCCTAAGACGGCACGACGGTCTTAGCAAGGCGAAGAGCTCACTGCTGATTCAAATCCGGACGGGAGCAATAGGCTTACGGGACTTCTTGTTTGCACGGGGAGTCCCGGAGGTTCTGACTCCTGCCTGCGAGTGTGGCGAGGGACGAGAGACTGCCGAACACCTGGTAGTGTGGTGTTTGGCCCCACCGTTGACTCGAAGATGGGAGAGAACTGGAATTCGGACACGACGGGACTTTTACTCTGTTCTACATGGCATCAATCCCACGACTGCACGGCTCGCGAGGAGAGTTCTCGACTGGCTGATGGACTCGGGGAAACTGCCGATGTACAGCTTAGCCAGGAGGCTCGAGCTGGAAGCGGCGGCCTGAAGCGCCCCCGTCCGGAGGCCAGGAGGCCTCCTCTCTTTGTATACGCAGACTCACCAGAACGCATCGTTCCTTGATTGTTGGTATGGGTTTTTCACCCGGCCCGGGAAGGCACGGTTTTCCTGTACACTAAATAGCAGAGGGTCCGGCACGCCCTAGGGGATAGCGGAGTATGAATAATAATAATTAAGAATTAGTAACTTCACATTTCAAAGTAAATTAGGCCGTATTTAGCATGAAATGTCCCCTCTGGAATCTCCGTCGGACGGGTATGGGTAGCAAGAGTAGAGCGAGTATGCTCTGCTATACGGTCTCGATACTCGGTAGGCGCCTCCTTGATACATTATGTTAGCCCGAACCTTGATCTCATCCATTTTTCAAATAAATGTGGTCTTTATGGTAAAGCTTGAACGAAGCTACGCTGCCCAATTTAAAATTCAAACTTGGATACATAATGATACGTAAGTATCTGAAATAGGGGAGAACAACGAGATTGGGTGAAAAAGGCTGATATATTCAAAGGAAGTGTCGCGATGGCTGCCGTGGAAGTAATTCCACTGCAGGCTGCACGCGATGCTTCCTTATCTAATCTAAATGCGGGGCACCCAAGTGCCCACCCAGGGGGTCCAAACCCTAACCCTGGGCCCTCCATTTTACTGTATCAGGATTCTTGTATCAAATCCCCCCCACGGGAGAAAAAATGCATTGCCCTCAATGCCCTGTACATCCACCGTGGAATTCCTTCGTTCGTTCAATTGACGATTCATTTACTCATTGTGGTGCCGCTGTTGTAGATGCGGGCGCCACCTCCTCCGAGGCGGGTCCGGTCGGCGCCAACCGCCGGCTACGCCGTCCACCATCTTTCGGAGGCACCTCGGGCTCCCTGTTTGCGGCGGGGAGCTTCTTCCACTGGAGCGACGTTCTTTCGCGGGCGGCCACGCTTACGCCGCGGCTCGGTGGCGTCGTCGCCGGGTAGTGCCGGTTGGCCTTCTTGCCGTTGCCAGTATTCCTTCAGAAGGCGAGGTGTGTGTCGCAATTCGTACTCTGTCTTCCAGACGTTGTGCTCGTGTCCCCATCCTTTCCATTTAATGAGATATTCGTATTTGCGCCGTGTCACGCGATGGCGCAGAATGACTTCGACCTCGTAATCCTCTCCGGGAGCGGAATCGGTGGAAGCTTGCGAGTCTTCCACTGGCCCGGGTGGCACGGTGTGTCGGTCAAACGGATCGTTGCCGGGTGGCGTTGGCGACAAATGCGCAATGGAGATAACCGGGTGGATGCCCATGTTCTCGGGAAACTTCAATTCGTATGCCAATCGGCCGACACGGCGTACAACTTCGAACGGTCCTGTGCGTTGTTGCGAAAGTTTCCGAGGTGGGTTTCCAGGTAGGTGATAACCCTTGTGCAGGCGCAGATAAACCTTATCGCCTTCCTTGAACTCAATGTCGCGACGGTTTGCATCGTACCGCCTTTTCGCGCGGGCGGCTGCAAAGTCCATCGCTAGACGGGCATCCTCCCGAAGCGATTCTCGCATAGATGGGATGTCGCTTTCCACCGATGGTGGTATAGCCAAAGCCTCAAAAGGTCCCGGCAACTTGAATCCGAAGAGCTGCTCGTGCGGCGACGATTGAATTGGTGCGGAGTAACTGCTGTTGAGATTCCATTGCAGTGGCGTGATCAGGTCGGTCCAATTCGCCTCTGGTCGTTCGAAGACAAAGAACCGCATTGCAATTTCGACTGTCTGGTTTTTTCGCTCCGCCAGACCGTCGGATTGCGGGTGGTACGCCGCCGTCATCAGAAGCTTCGTTCCCAGCGACTCCCACATGCCCTGCCAGAATTCTGACGTAAATTTACGATCCCGGTCAGAAATGATGGCAGATGGAACTCCCCAGTCGGAAAGAAACAATTGTCGCATCAGGACTTGTCCCCATTGTTGTGCCGTGTACGTTGTGTGGCCGGGGATCAGAAGTGTTCGCTTGCTCGACTTGCAAGACACTGTCAGTAAGCTATCGAAACTGACCTTGCCTTTTAGTTGCCACGGCGAGCCTTCAGAGGGCACCGTTGGGAGGCCGACAATGAAATCAATGCCGATGACTCGCATCGGGAGAGTGTCTGCAGGTCGAATTGGCTGTAGAGTGCCGATGGGAGGCTGTCGATCTGTGCTTACAACGTTGCACTGCGGGCAGTGCTGGGCAAACTTCCTGACCTGGCGAGTCTTGTTCACCATTGAGACACCACGAAGATCGTAAAGCATACGGTCAATACCGAAATGATGCTTCTGGTCGTGG